GAATGAAAATAGTCCGGACATCACCTCAGCTTGGACGATACAAAGTGATGAATTACAATGAAGAGAAAGAGAAACAAGAGTCCTGGAGAAGGTAACTGTTAAGGGGGTGGGGAGGGAGCAGGAAGGAGGTTTCTGTTTGCCTTGTGGCAGGTTGACAGTTACCATCATCTTTCTCAGAACAGGCAGAAAGTATACCCAAGGACACTGCAGCTTTTCCAGCTTTAAAGTGGCTGTTTCAAGAAGGCTCCCAGTTAGTTTCAACTGAGTAATACTACTCCTGTCTCTGCATTTGAAGGGTTACTTCTAGTTTCCTACTTTTTTCCTGTTGTTAAGGTCAGATGCTGGCTCAGAAACTAATACATATCAGACTTAAAAAATACTGCCTAAAAAATATTTGTTCCCTGAATAATTTGATGCTTCTCTTGTAAATAGGGTAAGTCCAATTTGAAGAGACATTGTTACAACTTCCCTGTAATACAATTTGCTCTTCAATCCATGTGGATTTACAACATACCATTAAAATAGTGGAAAGCAGCATTCTATTTGGAAGATATGAGGAAGGTGCTATGAGACCTTAGCAAAGATTCAGTTTTATGTAAGAGAGCAGGAGGAAGGTGCTGGGTCAAGCATGGTGGAGGCTTCTCATACTGCCAGTGCAGACAAACTTCCCTCTGTCATCTCAAAACTCAGGTTTCCATGACAACCCTCTCAGAAAACCTACCCCCCAGCAGCCTGTGTACCCCACTGCTGCAGGCCTGTGTTGCACTCCCAGGCCTCTCTAAACTGCTGCCAGTTTCCTGTTTATTGCAGACTGTAGTTGCCACCTCACTGCTCTACCTGTGTGATTAGGTTCCAGTGCAAATTGTCATCTATATATATAATACTCAGCATGAACTTACTCCAGTCTGTTTAGTCTTATAAAATGCCTTTTCTCTCTCCTTTTTATCATGTGAGAAGAATTTTCTTGAGGCTTTTCTGCTAGCAGATTTAACCTGTTAGGCCCCTGCTCCCTTTGGAAAGACAAGCATTTCTTCTGCAGCTTGAGTTGCAAGTATCACCTTTGTTCTTCTAACCACAGGTGTTCTTCCTTCTTCAGGCCTGCTTCCCGACATGACACCAGAAAAACATGGAAGGATGATGGGATGAATTCATTAGAGTTCAAGCTCCTTTCCAAGACAAAGCATCCTCTTTATACTAATATCACTGTGGACATTGGATATGTTCCCCCATTTTCTTAAGAGAATGAAAACAAAAGCAGTTTGGGCTCAGCATGGCAGGAGGCCTACAGGCATTCAGCCTCTACCTCCTGTACTGGTGTGGGATCTGCACCACCTGGGACTGATCCTGCTGTCTTGCACACATTTCACTTTTCTTCTGACTGTTTAACATTTAGAAGAAAAGGCTTCAGGAACAGGGTATGATAACTAATCAGGCTGTGACTACTGTAAACATTGTCCAAGCACTGTAAAAGTACTGATTCAGACCCACCTCATCCCTGCCTGTGGGAATCAAGGTCTCCTGGACAATAAGCTGACCCAAGTTTTTAGGAGCTGGATAGCTCTGTTCTGCTTCATCCTTAAGTGTTGATTGGGATGCAAGCTGTTCTGTCAGATGGGCTTCTGAAGTGCTTTATTTTGAGAAAGTGTTGAAGTCAGTTACAGTTCCATGAATATCTTTTGTGAATTTGAGTAAAATAAATGGAAATTTGTGTTTGGATTAAGATTTTCTGGACTATTTAATAAGAGTGTAATAAAGGAGAAAGCTGCTCTGAAACCAGAAGAAAACAGAGCTTAAGTCCTTGGGTTTTTTCCTGGCCATCAGTGTCTGAATGTTTTCATTGTAGCTGTAAGTAATTCAGGCTGGATGGGACCTGAGGCTGTCACCTAGTCTAACCTCCTGCTCAGAGTAGGGAAATTAATCCAGTATTTCAGCTGTTCCTCAAACATAATTTATCTTTCAAGGTTGATCTGTCTTCAACATAAAATACTTCTGAGAAATGAAATACTAGAGGCAAAACTAAAGTCAAATGTGTCAACAGTGGAGCTGTGACCCTGGCAGAAGTGCATTTGTACTTACCTGACTGTGAGATTGACAGAGTCTCCCCAAGACCTTGCCCTTTCTTTAAGCCTCCATTCTCTAGAACATCAGTAAGTAGGCACTGCCTGCCAGGTCCAGTTATTTTGCAAGCATGACACAGGGCACTTTGCTTGTTACTTTTAGTATCTACAAGTCCCTGTTCACTGAAGAGCAAGATGCATCTATCCTGCTAACACCTAAGAACTGACTTAAAGCATTGGCCTTCTCTACAGTTGGAAGGACACATCAGCCAGGTAGATAACCCTTTTTCAGTATTATTGTAACCAGAGGTTGCTTTTGGTCATGTAATTCTTAAGACACTGTGTCTAGAAGAAACACTCCCAACCCTGGCTTCACACCTACCACCAAGGGATGCATAGCCAACAAGCAGGCATAAGGACAGTTAGGTATAAGGCAGGAAGGAAGGTGCTCTGCTCAAGCTTTGAGCAGAAATCCTACAGCATACTGGAGTACAGCATAGTGCAGTTAACCACAGACTTGCACCAGAATCACAGAATTTTTTTTGAATTGGAAGGGACCTTAAAGATCATAGAGTTCCAGCTTAGTACTTGGGCCTTCTGGGCTGCAGCTGCAATTGGTGACTCATGTCCAGCTTTTGATCCACTAGTACCCCCAGGTCCTTTTCCACAGGGCTGCTCTCAAGTGTGACCTCTCCCAGCCTGTATTCTTATCTTGGGTTACCTTGGCCCAGGTGCAGCACTCTGCATTTGGCCTTGTTGAACCTCATGAGTTTCACCTGGGCCCACTTCTCTAGCTTGTCCAGGCCCCTCTGGATGGCATCCCATCCCTCTGGCATATCAACCACACCACCCAGCTTGGTGTCATCAGCAAACTTGCTGAGGGTGCTCTCAATGCCACTGTCAGTATAGTTAATGAAGATATTAAACAACACTGGGCCCAGCACTGACCCCTGAGGGACACCACTTGTGGTGGGCATCATCTGGAGCCACTGACCACTACCCTCTGGGCAAGACCATCTAGCCAGTTCCTTACCCACTGAACAGTCCACCCATCAAACCCATATCTCTCCAATTTAGCGAGCAGGATGTTGTGGGGGACCATGTCAAAAGCCTTGCAGAAGTCCAGTTTTCTAAAACAAGAGTAGCAAGTAATAAGGGCCTGGGTACATATACAAATATGTCCTCTGTGTGGCCCAAAGCATTAAAAAACATGGGACAGCAATTTTTTTGCCATCTAACACAGTTGCTACTGCATGTCTTTGCAGATCCCTCCAGAGTATCACAAAGCCTGCTGCGGAACTGAGACTTCCATTTTGCCACAGGGCACTTCAGCAGTCCCACCCACAGCAGGGTGAGCTGAGCTCTCAGGACAAGAGAAGCCTTTTAAATTCAATGGAGCGTATTTATTGAGAGATTTTTAACATCTTTTCATCCATTAACCATGATTGCCCTTCCCTCAGACATAAGCAGTTTTTCCTCAGGCTGGAAAAAATTAGCTGTTCTCAACAAGTTTTTAGTTCGTGAAAAATTCTTGTGCTTCTACTGGGAAACAACTGACCTGTTCCTTCTGAAGTCACAGCAGTGTTGGCAGTGCTAGGCTGCCTTTCCCCTGCAACAAGTAAGTGTAGGAATAGTTGCAATAATAAACTTTTTTTTTTTCAGGACTTAGTTCAAGTCCTTCCACTGGACCAGCCCAAACAAGGACACTTCTACAAGTGTCCCAGCAGAAAGTGCATAGAAGAATACAAGGACCAGTCCCTCACAAAAGGAAATTCTCAACCAACCAATTAGATGCTGTGAAGAAAAACTTTCTTCCCTGCTACTGAAGGACACTTTAAAGCAGAGTGCCAGGAGCCATCTGCTCTAACAGTAACCACAAACATGATCTGATGCCTCTTCCAATAACCTGTGTGGTGCTTGCCCTTATGAGACCTTGGGCTGCATTCTGAAATCCACCGTGATGTTGACGTATAAGGGGTTGTGTTCCACTGAAAGTAGTTTATATGAACAAGAGTTCAGCCCATCTCTTTTCCATGTTCTAGATACCTGACGTAGAAGCTTCATCCTGAGGACAAAGAGGAGAAAAATCTTACATTGACATGCAGAGGAGAAGAGTTTTAAGGTCTTACCCACTACTAGTAAACTTGAAAGCAAAGCCACAGCCATTCTGTATCTACTGGGAACATAAAAAACATGCTTTTCCTGTTCTGATCACAGACAGTCAGACATGGGAAAGAAAAGTCCTTTAGTTTGGGAGGAGGTGGGTTAAGCCATTTAATCTCTGAAATCATATGCTCAAATAAAATTAATGTAACTATAACTTTGGAATTTTCTAAGGAACATCACCTGGTCAATTCTAGGTAGATCTCATGTATAGAACAACAACTGCCAGCTGTGAACAGTGATGTCAAAGGGCCTCTGTGACCCCAGGTCTCTGGGTACCACCTATTAAGGCCTAGAGCAAAGAACTTGGTCCCCAGGTGCCTGGCTCCTAGCCACATTCCAAGACAATGCAAGGTAGAACGCTGTTCTTGACTCACCTCTCTGCATTCTCCTCATTACCATGGTCTCGTTTGTGGAAGATCATTGTGTACCTGGCTACAGCAGCAGATGGCCTCACCACCTTCATTTTCTGCATCTCAACCCTGGAAGAAGCAACAGTGCCATAAGCAAGATGTCACCTATAAACAAACTCTTAAGGGGACAAAACCCACAAAATATTTGGAGAACCATCTCTTATAGATGCCAGGGAAGCAAGCACAGAGCTGGAAGAAGCTCATCTGCCATCTCTTCCACAACCTGTTTTGCCAGAGAGCTCAGAGTTGAGTTTCTGGAGAACAGGTCCAATAGGGTGAGAGATGCCCCTTCCTTTTGAACAGAAAAAGGTAGCTACTGGAGTAGAGATCATGTAGAACTTGAAGCACATGTTATACAACAGAGTACATTTAAATTAGTATTGTCTGCTCTAGTTTGTACTGCCCTAGTTTGTATACCCTGTACTGAACCTAAGGAGGCCTTTAGCAGGATTGCACACTTTGCAACAAGTTCATCTCAACTCCTGCAATAAAGCCTCTAATACTGAGTAGTTCTCCATTTATAAAACAAAAGACACCAAAAAAAAGCTTCTTTTCTTTTTTGACAGATGGCTGCAAAACTGGGTTTTGTTGACATGGAGAAACCTTTCTGAGAATAGTGCCAGAAACACAAAGCCCCATGCATGAATTTATGTGTCTGGCATCAGGCATTTGGAACTTTTGGCCTTAAACATATCTGTGGAGCATAACAATTTTGCAGAAAGAGTTAACTTCCAGACAATGGAATTAAGTAATAGTCCAGGCTTTGCTAGTCATATCAGCAGCTGAAAGAGCAAATGGAAACCAAGAACTAAAGAAACTGATCCCCTACAGCTTCCCAGTAACTGACTGTAGCAGTCAGTTAGCAAATACAGCAGATTATATTAAGTATCTCTTTGCGATGCACACCTGAGGATGTGGCCTAAAGGAGACAATGACATTTAGCAGAGAAGCAAAACAGTAGGACCTAAGAGCAGGCCACCCCGACTTCTTGAAGATACCAAGGGGGATGCTGCCATCTGCTGTCCTCACAGAGAAAGGCTGCAATAATCTCTGCACAACTACCCACCCCGTCAGCGCGCTTCCCATTGCCTACCACCTGCGCGCTGTCACCAGCCCAGTCCAAGATCTTCCCAAGAGGAAAGGCACGAGCCAAGTCCAGTTGCAGTGTGCAATCTGGGCCATACGATTCGGCTTCCACGCCAAGACCACAACAGATGCAAAGTTATGAGGTGCCACACACAAGCAAGCAGCACTTGATTCAAACCACCCTCTTTAAATCCTGCTGATCCGTTGCACAGCTGGTTCTCTGCTGCCCACAGAAACATTTGCAAACCTCCACTATCATCTTTGTTCACTCATTAACTGTGACACTTCTTGGGAACCAGGGATATGGACTTTATGTTCCCAATGTTTGTTTAAATATAATGTTTTTAAATATAAGCATTTGAAAAGACAAATTCTTAAGAATGACAAAGCATACCCAAGTTACAAATTGACAGGTGCTGCCAGCAGACTTTGTGGGGGCTTTTGTTGTTGTTTGGGTGCGCCCTCTCCCCCCCTCTTCCTCCACTAGCAGCAATGACATTTATTCCTTAGGTAATGGGCAAAAGATCAAAGTTTTGACTTCTTTGTCCCAATAAACCCCTCAAACAAACTAGTTTCTTCTACTGTGACAAGCACATCTTCAAAGCTAGTTTTAACAAGAGCAAAGGGTATTTCTAAAATTCAAGTTACTATCTTAACTATAATCAACACCACCCACATACAAACTAAGCCCTGCTTGGAACAAATCATGATAGTCAATAAATGCAAAAAAAACCAATTCCACAAGAACACTCCCATGCTCTTGTAAAGTGTTGGAATTCAATACATTTGTTTCTGGCACATGACACTCCAGACTTCAATCTTACTATTTCAGTTATTACCAATTTCCAAGAGAGAATATAAATACCATATGGCTAAGAAAAAACAAAATAAACCAACCAAAAAAAACCCCAAAACCCCACCAAATTTAAAAAAAAAAAAAAAATCCCAACATAACCCACACCTGCCCAACAGTGCTGTCAAGAGGAATACCAGGTCTCAGGCATGCCCAAGCTTTTCAAAGGGGAAACTGTTCTCAGAACTGCATCTCACACTCTACATCCCTACTGCAACACTGTGTTGAAGGCTCCTGTAGTGTTCCACCTTTGGAGACTAGGTGGAACTTCTTTTTTTTGTTTCAAATGTGATAAGATTTTTTTATTACCTGATTCGAAGGTCGTCATCTTCTCCACCCCAACCCCAGTAGTTGTTAGAGAATCCATTCACCTTGGAAAACTGATCTTTTGTTAGAGCAGTTACACCGCCAAAATATCCCGCGTATCGTAACCTAGAAGTACACAAAGAAGAGAGAATTAAAAATTAGAAGTTAAGTTCTACCAACAAGGACAATATCACCCTGAAACTCTGAATTTAGAGCTGTCCTTCAAAGTCGGAGGCACATAAATCCGTAAGGTAGGTCTTGTTCTCTTCCTCTTCTCATAAAAGGAAGATGATTGGCTTCAGGCCAGAAAAAGTTAACTCTCCACCTGACTGTAGCTGCCTTCAATAGTTTCTCTCTCTTTACATAAGTCCTCTTACCAGCCAAAAAGGCATTTCACCTCAAGGACTGTGATGAGTAGAAAAGAAACTAAGCTACATGCAAATGCCACTGACTGTCTTAAAGCTGAATCTGACAAACTTGGAATGAAATCAGATCACAGCCAGGGGGCCTGTGCTACAGGACCTCACCTCCAGCTAGGAATATCACAGGACCAATTCCAAGGTAAGGTACAGTGCAAGTTACTTAGTAACCTAGTGTCATGAAGCTCAGAATAATCTCTAACTTCTACCTTCTCCTGGAAACCGTGTCTACTTTAAAAAGTCATTTACATATTATGCTTATTTATATTCTTACATAATTTTTATAATTATGGCAATTTGCAGACCAGACTAACAAAGGCACAATGGTTAATTTCTGGTTTACAATTAATCTAATTTAAAACCACTTAAAAAATCAGCACATGCAACCTTCCTCATAGACTGTTTTTCCTTGGAAAATTTTGCTCTTGTCATAGCATCACAAGAGAACTGCAGAGCTTAGGAAGGGTCTCTGAAGATCAGCTAGTCCAACCCCTCTGCTAAGAGCAGGGTCTGCTAAAGTGAGTTGCAGAGGAGTGTTTCCATTCAGGTTCTGAGCATCTTCAAGGATAAGACTACACAACCTGTCCGGGCAGCGTGTTCCAGTATTTGACTATCCTCAAAGTAAAAAAAGCTTTTGTCTATGTTAAAATAACATTTCCTGTATTTTGGTTTGTGTCCATTGCCTCTTGCCTTTCACTGCAAAGAGTCTGGCTTCACCTTCTTTACTCCCTTCTACCTGTATATGCATTGACAAGATCCTCCTCTGCCTTCTCTGCTCCAGGCTGGACAGTCACAGCACTTTCAGCCTCTCTTCACATATCACAGAATCTTAGGGGTTGGAAGGGACCTTGAAGATCATCTAGTCCAACCCCCCTGCCAGAGCAGGGTCACCTAGAGCACATTACACAGGAACATGTCCAGGCAGGTTTTGAATGTCTCCAGTGAAAGACTACACAACCTCTCTGGGCAGCCTGTCCCAGGGCTCTGTCACTCTCACAGGAAAGAAGTTTTTTTCTGATGTTTACACGGCACCTCCTATGTTCCAGTTTGCATCCATTGCCCCTTGTCCTATCACTGGACATCACTTAAAAAAGCCTGGCTCCATCCTCCAGACACTCACCCTTAACATATTTGTAAACATTGATGAGGTCCCTCCTCTGTCTCCTCCAAGGTAAAGAGACCCAGCTCTCTCAGCCTTTCCTCATCAGGGAGATGTTCCACTCCATCATCTTTGTGGCTCTGTTCTGGACTCTTCCAAGCAGTTCCCTGTCCTTCTTGAACTGAGGGGCCCAGAACTGGACACAATATTCCAGATGCGGCCTCACCAAGGCAGAATAGAGGGGGAGGAGAACCTCCCTTGAGCTACTAACCACACCCTTTCTAATACACCCCAAGGATGCCATTGGCCTTCTTGGCCACAAGGGCACATTGCTGGCTCATTGTCATCCTCCTGTCCACCAGGACCCCCAGGTCCCTTTCTCCTACACTGCTCTCCAGCAGCTCAGCCCCCAACCTGTACTGGTACATGGGGTTGTTCTTCCCCAGATGCAAGACTCTACACTTGCCCTTGTTGAATTTCATCAAGTTTCTCCCTGCCCAACTCTCCAGCCTGTCCAGGTCTCTCTGAATGGCAGCACAGCCTTCTGGTGTGTCAGCCACTCCTCCCAGTTTAGTGTCATCAGCAAACTTGCTGAGGGCACACTCTGTTCCCTCATCCAGGTCGTTGATGAATATATTGAACAGTACTGGTTCCAGTACCAACCCCTGAGGGACTCCACTAGTCACAGACCTCCAACTAGGTTCTGTCCCATTGACCACATCTCTCTGACTTCTTCCTTTCAACCAGTTCATGATCCACCTCACTACCTGATTATCAAGACCACACTTCCTCAGTTTATCTACAAGGATGCTGTGGGAGATGGTGTCAAATGCTTTACTGAAATCAAGATAAACCATATCTACCACCCTACCATCATCTATCCACCTGTTTACTTCCTCATAGAAAGCTACAAGGTTGGTCAAACATGACTTCCCCTTGGTAAAACCAGGTTGACTGCTCTTAATGACCCTCTCATCCTTGAGATGAGGCCTAGAGATAGCGCCAAGTTTTCCCATCACCTTTACAGGGAGGGAGGTGAGGCTGACTGGTCTACAGTTACCCGGGTCCTCCTTGCCCTTTTTGTAGACTGGAGTGACATTTGCTGTCCTCCAGTCCTTGGGCACCTCTCCTGTTGCCCACAACTTACCAAATATGATGGAGACTGGGCTAGCAATGACCTCTGCCAGCTCCCTCAGCACCTGTGGGTGCATTCCATCTGGACCCATCGATTTATGGATGTCCAGATCGCTTAACTGATCCCTAACCCAATCCTCATCTACCAAAGCAAACTCCTCCTTCATCCTGACTTCTTCTGGGGCTTTAGAGATCTGGGGCTCCTGGGGAGAGTCTGCAGGAGTAAAGACAGAGACAAAGAAGACATTGAGTACCTCTGCCTTCTTTATATCTTCTGTCACCAGGGCACCCACCTCATTCAGCAGCGGGCCTGTATTGCCTCTGGTGTTAGTTCTATCTGCAATGTATTTAAAGAAGCCCTTTCCATTGTCTTTGACCTCACTTGCAAAGTTTAGTTCCAAGGAGGCCTTAGCTTTCCTAATTGCCTCCCTACATCCTCGGACAACAGTCCTATATTCCTCCCAAGTGGCCAGCCCCTCCCTCCATGATCCATAGAGTCTCTTCTTCCACTTGAGTTTGCTCAGCAGTCCCTTGTTTAACCATGCGGGTCTCCTGGCTCCCTTACTTGATTTCCTACCCATTGGGATGCTCTGATCCTGAGCTTGCAAGAAGTGGTCCTTCAATGTTGACCAACTATCTTGAGCCCCTTTACCATCTAGTACCCTGTCCCATGGCACTTCTCTTAACAATTGATTGAGGAAGCCAAAGTTGGCCCTGCGGAAGTCCACGGTTCTGGTCCCACTAGGTATTCTGTTCCTCCCACACAGGGTCCTGCACTCCACCATCTTGTGACCATTGCAGCCAAGGCTGCCAGTGACCATCACTGCTTCAAACAGACCCTCCTTGTTGGTGAGTACAAGATCCAGCAGCGTTCCTCTCCTAGTTGGTTTGTCCACCATTTGTATCAAGAAGTTATCATCGATACATTGGAGGAACCTCCTAGACTGTGAACGGCTGGCTGTATAGGCCTTCCAGCAGGTATCTGGGTAGTTAAAATCCCCCATGGGGACCAAGGCCTGTAATTGTCAGGCTGCTTTCAGCTGCCTGTAGAAAACCTTGTCAAATTCCTCATCCTGATCAGGAGGTCTGTAATAGACCCCCACAACTGTATCACCCATGCCAGCCTGCCCCTTAATTCGTACCCACAGACTTTCCACTTGCTCCTCATGGGCCCCTGGACTGAGCTCAATACATTCTAGTTGCTCTCTCACATAAAGAGCAACTCCACCACCTCGCTTCACTGACCTGTCTTTCCTAGAAAGGACACAGCCATCCATGACCACATTCCAGTCATGTGAGCTGTCCCATCATGTCTCTGTAATTGCCACCAGAACATAACCCTTAGAGCACACATAGACCTCTAACTCCTCCTGTTTATTCCCCATACTGTGTGCATTGGTGTAGAGGCATTTCAGGGAGCAAGCTGAGCACGCTGGTGGCACGCTGGGAGGCGTGAGGCCTTCATTAATACTAGAACAATGCCCTACTAGTTCAAACCCAGCTACAACCCCCTCCCACTTCAAATCTAGCTTAAAGCTCTGTGAATGAGCCCTGTTAACTCCTGCCCTAGGACCCTTTGTCCCCTGTGGGACAGGGTCTTCCTATCCAATGCCAGTAGGCCCAGTGTCCTGGAAATCAAACATCCAGGAATTTTATCCCCCACCCTCTTCAAGTCTAGTTTAAAGCTCTCAATAAGCCCCCTAACTCCTGGCAAACAATCCTTTTCCCCCTTGTTGACAGCTCTATGCCATTGTTTGCTAGCAGACCTGGTGCCCTGTAAACATCTCCATGATTGAAAAACCCACAGTTCATCTGACAGCACCAGCCTCTAAGCCATACATTAATCAGTTGTGTCTTCCTAGTCCTTTCAGCTTTTCCTGCCACTGAAGCAACTGAGGAAAAGACCACCTGTGCTCCTGATCCCGCAAGCATTCAGCCTACTTCTCTGAAATCCCTTTTCATCACCCTGGGACTTGCCTTGGTGCCCACCATCAGTGCCCACCTGCATGAGCACTAGTGGGTAGTAATCAGAGTTGCACCACGCCTGGGAGTTTCTCAGTAACATCGCTAACCTGGGCCCCAGGGAGGCAGCGGACCTCCCTGAGGGTTGGGTCTGGGCGGCATATGGGGGCCTCAGCTCCCCTCAAAAGAGAATCTTCTACAACAATTACCTTCCTTTTGTTCTTAGCAGAGGCAGTCCTAATGCATGGGGCAGCTCCCCAGAAGCTCTCACTCCATGCCCAGGGATAGGGGCTGGGACTGACTCCCTCCCACTGTCTCCGTTTCTCCCTCTCTCACCTTCTCTTCCTCTGTTTTGCTGAGGTTTTCCTTGCAGTTTAGCTGCTGCAGAAGGGGGCCAACCAGCACAATCCCTTGCTTTGGTGTCCCTTGCTTCAGTGGCTTCACCGAAATGGTGTATCAGATGCTGCAACCCCTTAGTCATCTTTGTGGCTCTTCTCTGGACTTGCTCCAGCATGTTCACATTTTTATGGTGCTGGGGAACCCAGAACTGGACACAGCACTCCAGCTATCTCCTCAGTGATACTGAGTAGAAAGGAAAAACCATCTCCTTCAACCTGCTGACAACAACCCTCCTAATGCAGCCCAAGATGATACTGGTTTTTATCACAAGGGCACACTGCTGGTCTAGATTCCTTTTCTGTAAAGCTACTTTCCAGACAGTTGGCCTCCAGCACTTACTAGTGCATGGTGTTACTAATCTCCAGGTGCAGGACTTTGCATTTCCTTTTGTTGAACTTCTTTAGATTCCTGTTGGCCACACTATCCAGTTTGCCAAAGTTTCTGCTACCTCAATCATCCCTCCAAGATTTCTATCTTTTGAAAACTTGCAGAGGGTGCAATCTACCTTATTGTCCAGGTTACTAATGAAGGTATTAACCAGTACCATCCCCAGTGCCAACCTCTGGATTAAATCACCAGTGACTGACCTCCAGCTGAACTGTTCTACTGATCAGAACCCCAGTTTTCAGTCAGTCAATCTCACTGTCCATTTACTAGTCCATACTTCATCACATTGTCAAGGGGAACGTTATGGGAGACAGTGTTGAAAGCTTTCTTTAATCAAGACAAACTGGAAACTACTATGGTATATGAGAATTTGCACAGCCCACCTCTTCCTCATATGTTTAACAAAGGAAGCCCAGAAGTAAAGCAGAGCTTTACCTTGAAGTACTTTGAGATTGGCTTTTGAAAAGCCCATTTCTAATTAATATTTAGAATGACATAAGGGGTAAATCTTGAAAGAAACAAGTTCAATGAAAACAGTCTAGTCATTAAACTCACCAGGCTTAGCAGCCTTTTTGTCTCAGGTGTACTGAACCTGACTTTTCACTTTAAATTATTTATATTGCACTGGCACTCAGGGGATTCATTTACAAATCAGAATGATTCCATGTTAGACACTGTCCAGCCATGGAAGCAAAAGAAAACTGTATCCCTTGACAAATTTTCACACTTGAGTTCCCAATATCAAATATTACCCCTTCAGCAGCAACAGGTAAGTGGCAAGTTTTATTAGCACTATACCAAGGTCACACCATCAAACCACAGGACTAGGTGACTGCAAATGCATTTCTAGCTTTGACAGAAAGTCTCTGCACATGCTGCTTTCCTCTCGGAACACCATTTACTTCACCCTAGAAATCAGAACAATGGCAGTGATCATTCGTACAGATGACCACAGAGCTGATTGCAGAGATGTCCATACAGTTATCTTTTATCATAACGCACTCATGAAGTGAAGTGTTACCACTAGAAACCTGATGTCAGGAGGAAGGGTAGATACCAGCAGACAACTCCATCAGAAGAGGAACAGTAGCAGTACTCTGGCATTTCCCAGTTGGTACTCTTTCCACGTTCCTGGTTTCCTACCTGTATCCAGTGTTGTTCCTGCCAACTACAAGATGCTTTGGTTGTCTGTCACACATGTAAATGTTAAAGTCATTTTCTGGCACCAGATCCACATCATGGAAAATGAAACAGTCCCAGTTTGCTTCTTTTAGGGCCTCTAGGTATCCCACATTCAGCAGTTTAGCCCGATTAAATTTGGTGCTGCCAGCCTGTGGAAGAGAATGGAAAAAAACCTCTGAAGAAGGCAACAAACCTTTTGAACCAGAACAGCTCCTGGGCTTTTGTTCTAATCACGTAGTTCACAACAGCATTTGTGCGTCACAGCCTTAACAGCAGCACTTAAACAAAGAGTTACCCCACAACATCAGGTACAGTACCAGAGCAGCCAACTGTGCAAAGTGTTCCTTCAACCCCTACTTGTCATGAACAAACACAGCTACAGTTTATCTGGGCATGAGAAGTATGCAGGATGAAATTTCGCTACTATTGCTGCTCCTGTATGTAGCCTGAGGTCCCATCAGGCTACCAGGAAGTGCTATCAGTAAACAGCTCAGAAACTGGCACTTCAGACAGCTGCGCCAGCAATGCTTACAGAAGTTGTTTGGGGAACGGAGGAAAAAAGGGGAACGGAGGAAAAAAGGGGAACGGAGGAAAAAAGGGGAACGGAGGAAAAAAGGGGAACGGAGGAAAAAAGGGGAACGGAGGAAAAAAGGGGAACGGAGGAAAAAAGGGGAACGGAGGAAAAAAGGGGAACGGAGGAAAAAAGGGGAACGGAGGAAAAAAGGGGAACGGAGGAAAAAAGGGGAACGGAGGAAAAAAGGGGAACGGAGGAAAAAAGGGGAACGGAGGAAAAAAGGGGAACGGAGGAAAAAAGGGGAACGGAGGAAAAAAGGGGAACGGAGGAAAAAAGGGGAACGGAGGAAAAAAGGGGAACGGAGGAAAAAAGGGGAACGGAGGAAAAAAGGGGAACGGAGGAAAAAAGGGGAACGGAGGAAAAAAGGGGAACGGAGGAAAAAAGGGGAACGGAGGAAAAAAGGGGAACGGAGGAAAAAAGGGGAACGGAGGAAAAAAGGGGAACGGAGGAAAAAAGGGGAACGGAGGAAAAAAGGGGAACGGAGGAAAAAAGGGGAACGGAGGAAAAAAGGGGAACGGAGGAAAAAAGGGGAACGGAGGAAAAAAGGGGAACGGAGGAAAAAAGGGGAACGGAGGAAAAAAGGGGAACGGAGGAAAAAAGGGGAACGGAGGAAAAAAGGGGAACGGAGGAAAAAAGGGGAACGGAGGAAAAAAGGGGAACGGAGGAAAAAAGGGGAACGGAGGAAAAAAGGGGAACGGAGGAAAAAAGGGGAACGGAGGAAAAAAGGGGAACGGAGGAAAAAAGGGGAACGGAGGAAAAAAGGGGAACGGAGGAAAAAAGGGGAACGGAGGAAAAAAGGGGAACGGAGGAAAAAAGGGGAACGGAGGAAAAAAGGGGAACGGAGGAAAAAAGGGGAACGGAGGAAAAAAGGGGAACGGAGGAAAAAAGGGGAACGGAGGAAAAAAGGGGAACGGAGGAAAAAAGGGGAACGGAGGAAAAAAGGGGAACGGAGGAAAAAAGGGGAACGGAGGAAAAAAGGGGAACGGAGGAAAAAAGGGGAACGGAGGAAAAAAGGGGAACGGAGGAAAAAAGGGGAAAGGAGGAAAAAAGGGGAACGGAGGAAAAAAGGGGAACGGAGGAAAAAAGGGGAACGGAGGAAAAAAGGGGAACGGAGGAAAAAAGGGGAACGGAGGAAAAAAGGGGAACGGAGGAAAAAAGGGGAACGGAGGAAAAGAAAAACACAGCAAACACAGATCCCAAATATTACTTCTCTACTAATTGATTTATAGATGTCAGAACACCTGCCACAGACATTTTCTGCTTGTCCAGGCAGTTTAGAGGACAGCAATGCTTAAGGGGCTCACTGTATTTCCTGGAAATAAAAAGCAGGATTTTTTTTAACTCCTAATCTATCACCTAATTATTATGCTGCACAGGGACTCGCCCTAGCACAGGGCTTCACTTGAATTTTGTCTTCATTGTTTCCTTTTATTACACATTAGCACATCTTTGCTTTTCAAAAAAAATACCTTTTCACCATTTGAGGAATACACACATATATATACAAACACCTAGCAGTTTTGCAAGCTTACCATGACACTGTTCCACTCTGAAGCAACAGGTATGCTTATCTTGCTATTTATTTTTTACTGGGCTGTACACGCATGCCAGCTTATAGAATGTTTTCTGCTCATGAGAACAAAATGGTAAGTCACCACAAGTTCCCACCTGGGAGTCAGAGGACCAAGCCCTCCCTGCACTGCCAGAAACTGACATGACAGTCATTCAAGAATAAAGTAATCATATTCAAGAGAAAGGGGTCGTTTGCTAGAAGGTGCCTGGACAGAAAGAGGCTCCACGGAAGATAAAAAAGAAGCTGGCCTCTGCAGACTGAGAGAAGTTAGCTGTAGGGATTAGGGAAAAGCAGTTGTAAAGAAAGCCTGGTTTTTGTCATTCTAAAAAATAATGCTTTGCTCTGAAGCAGCAATTTGCTCACATCACCAATAGTCTTCTGCTCCTGCACCAAGGTTTATAGGATTTATGGCTCCAGGCCTGTAGTTATGGAAATACAGCCTAGTGCTCACTCTGAAAAATTAAGAGAAGGCTAATCAATTGCTTCCCTTGTCAGTTAGGGAAGGAACTTTCCAAGAAAAAATTACATACAATTCACCCATAAGCCTTGATGTCAAATTCCTGATTTCTTGGTTTTGTTTTTTTGGTTGGTTTCTTTTGTTTCTTTGGTTTTTTACAAGTGACCTGTATATGAAAATAGCCATCAGATCAGTTTCTCCTGGTGATGACAACACAGGTTATTGAGTGAACAACTCAGATGATCAGTAAAGAGCATATAGAGATCTTCACTCAGTATTGGGTATCAAAACAAGCCTAATTCAACAGCACCATCTACTACCTGCTGCTGTTCTGCCCTCCCCGTCAATCAATTCAGCCACCACAGCCCACTTCCTGCACAAAGGTAACAAAACAACAGCTCAAACTGCCTTCCAGTAAGGGCAGTTTTCAGTGTTAGACTATAAGATGAACAAATAGGAAAGTTTACTGTCAACTTGTTTTGATGAGAGAATTGTCCTTCTTCCTTTTCTTTGGAAGAATACCACCAATCACAACATGAACTTATGTTGGGGAAGAAATTACTCACCTTCGAGGATTATAAACTCACATTTTTTTTCAGTACTGCACTCATGTATGCACACTTGGGCAGATACACTATTTTCAAAATGTTGCAAGTAGTCCATAAAGAAGAGATCTGGAGTATACCCTTAAATTGCTCACAGGAAAAAAAAAATGCCCTTTCTCTTCCTCCCAAGTAAGCTCTGTGTTTTTTCAAGAGTTAAATCCTTCTTTCCCCAAAAGATACTTAAAACAACTAATGGCATCACAAATGGAGAATGAAAATGGATTAGCCATAAGAGTGTTATGTTACAACCACTTTGCAGTCTTTGGGTATGCCTGTCTACAGGGAAAGGCTAAGCAAAAGCAAGTCTTCCAAGTAAAAATTCTCATAGGACAAATCTAGGACAATCTGTGCTGCTCACATCAGACCAAACCTTCATACTGCTGTGTTACTTTTTCCTAATATAACAACAGCCATTCTCCAGCTCATGTATTTCAATTAAGAAGGAACTTATGCCCATTCTCCCAATGACTTACTGCTAACTAACCACTGCCTGCTAGTTAGAGTGAGCTGTTATATGAATGATTACTGTACACACTAATGGAGGAAAAAGCCTCTTTTTTTCCCCACTCTGCAGGCCACATGGCAACTCCAAACAACAAAAGAAGAGTCTATTCCAACTGAAAGCGTATATCCTGACATGACTTTTGTTGCTATTCTGCCATGCCAGTGTTAGCTTTCCTCTAGAATGCACTGCCTCATACTGGTTAATTAACTGTAGCCTCTTTAAACAGAAGATACGAGAAACTGTTAATTTATCACATTTTTCTCCTGTCTGAAAAAAACCCAAAACTAAAAGATCAAGACAACATATTATTAAAAAAAATAATAAATCTATGCTGCTTTCAGCTCACATGACCAGAATGTAAACACCTTAGATGAAAGACAATGTGGCACAAGTCTGTATATCCAAAATTTAAACACTGACTCAGCAGAGCTAGAAAGAATACAAATAAGAAATTAATAAATGTTTCAGGAACTAAATGCTCTACCAAGACTACTTCTTCCTACAGTCTTTGCTGGGCACGTAAAGCACCTACAAGCAGTAGCTGGTGTATTTAGCTTGAGATAGCAAAAGTACAACCACATGATAGACACAGCTTTCTAAGCACCACAGCCGCTAAGCAGATGGGAGAAAAGAGTTAGGTACGAACCAAGGTCATCAATCCAAGCAACTCCAAATTTAAAGATCTAAAACATGTCAGCCTAGTTACCTCTGTGTACACTGCAAGAGAAGTGAGTCACATTAGTAACGTGAAAGATGCTAAAACCTTGAACACTAACTCAGAAATAGTAAGTTACTTAGACTGAGAAACGGACACCAGTGGAAGACAGTTTGCTAATACTTCCTAGCTTTGCTAACAGCAGCTGAGATCCTGTAGTGCTACCAGCAATGGCTGTGTGCATCACTGCAACCCTCAACAAGTAGAATTGTTCAAAGCAGGCTTGGAGCAGCATGCCCCTCCTTAGACTGCAGAACACTGACATCATCCCCACCCAAACATGCCTCTGCACAGCTGCCTCACCTGGTGAATAACATAAATGCCGTAGTCCAGCTGCTGCCTCTGTAAGAAGGGGTGGAGGTGCTCCAGGAGGTACAGCAGGTGCTTCTCTCGGTTGCGGTGTGGGATGAGGATGGCCACACGCTGCAATGCTGAGCACTCTGTAGGGTGATACCGGCCCTTGGTTACCTGAGGGTTCTCCTTCTGCACTTCTTCCAGTGTGAGAGATGCCTTGAAGGTGAGTTTGCTGGCGCCTCCTGTAGGAGAAGCACAAGAAGCTTTCTCAAGTCGTTTCTGGTTGCAGCTAGTCCAGTTACCTAATGAGGCACTCTGTAACCAGCATGAGAAACACAGCTTCAAGCCCAAGCTGGATCCCCTGCCTTTCCAAGAGAAAAGTAGTGCTACAAGGACATTACACAGGCAGTGGAAGGAGAGAGCATCAAGCATTTAGCTGCTTAAACTGATTATAGAGTAGTGATGATTAAAAATATACTAAAAAATACCCCAACAATTAAGAGAAGCACTACCCTACTGCAAGAGTACCAGCCACAAAGAGCTGCCAGGGCAAAGAAGGGGAGAGGGAAGTGAAAAGAGACATAGAAATGTTGCAGTGAGAAGCCATCTCTGCTTAAAGCATGAACAAAAGCATTACAGGCTTAAGGCTATAAATTTGTAAGATAAAATGTACCAAGGCTTCCTGTAGCCAGATGACATTTTCCTCACTTCTCTTGTACTAAGCCCTTCCAAAACCAGCAAACCCATGAAACAGAACAGCACAGGCAACTGTGGTGGCTACAGGTGCAGTGGTTTACTTAAGCAAATACATTCTGGGGGCAGGGGTGTGCAGCTAGCAGCTTTTCAGACTAGACTGGAGAGGAGGGAAGAGTTCAGCTTCCAAGCAAATCCCTGATCAGGTTCAGAAAAAGGAAGAGGAAGAAGACAATTACATGATAATGAAAAGACCAAAAGACAAAAAAAAAGTGGACTAAAAAATAGCCAAACCAAGGAAACAATAATCTGTTTAAATCTTCACCATAAGTAGTGGTAACCTCAACACAGTTGTGAAGTCCTTCAATTGTCAAGGAAGAGAAACAAAAGCACATCTAACCATGAAAAGGCAAAAAATTGAGGTAAGGTGAAAAGGCTTGTGCTTGAGATAAAGATAGTCAAGAAAAAAAGCAAAAGCTGTGTGTGCAAGCAACATAAAAGAAGTCCTTTATTACTTCCCATTGGCAGGCAGATATTTGGGTACATCCTGGGTAGCAGGGCTTCAGCACTTATAGCAGTTGTTGGGAAGACAAAATACTAACCATGAACCACCCCTTCCTCCTTTCCCCAAGCTTCTTCTTGCTGAGCATGATAAATGGTATGGTTATATGGTATGGAATATCCCTTAGGTCAGTTTGGGTTAGCTGTCCCAGCTGTTACCTCCCAACCTCTTGACCACTCCCAGCCTACCAGATTTTAGGGTGCCAGGGAAGAGACAGACAAAGCATCAGTGTGCAACCACTGTTCAGTAGTAAAGAAGACACTGGTGCTTCACCTAAGCTGTTTCAACCACAGCTGTGACACACAGCACCATACAGGCTGCTATCCCAGCCAGACCCAGCACAGCAATGCTGTGCCCCAAGCTGCTTGCTCACCCATAAGTGCCTATTGCTGCTGGCTGCACTGTATTTGTTTCACAGGAAAAGACTCTAAACGTAAAATAGCCACTTTTAAATGGAAGCAACAAGAAAAAACCAAACAAACAAAACCGCAAACAAATCAGGGGTACCAACTTGTTAGAAGAGGACACCACTATTACTTACGCAGATACGGCGACAGAGCTGGGCAAGGACCCTGAAATTTCACCGTAGGAACTTCAGCAATGGATTCAAACTTCTCTTCCTTTTGGCTGTACATCAGGCTAGTTACCGTTCTGAAATCCTGCACCATGTCCTTAACTTTAGAAATTTCCTGTCTTGAGTCCACAAAGTAACTGAATGTGGCCCATAGCACCATCAAACACAAAGTGACAAGCACCAACACTTTGAACTTATAGAAGAGGTGTAAGACGTACAAGCTCAAGGCCATGGCTCTCCCTGGTCTGCAAACTGCTTCCTCTGCTCTGGTACAGAATCAGGCCACTGTGTACCCAGTGAGGATAAAGCAAAAAGTCCTGAGAAGAATGTCACAGTAAGGAAGAAAAGCTGGAGGTAGGAAGGGCTACCACACTTCCTGTGGTTTCACAATTCATGGAACCATGGTGCTGTTTGCTCTTCAGATGTCTGAGAATACAACTCAACCTGGACAAAGAGAAAAAAGAAGGAGTTAGTTTCTACCACCCTCCACTGCTGTATCTTCAGAAATTTCATGAAAAGAAGGCATGACAGAACACAAAAGAAACAGCAAGTATGAACTGCTCACCAGAAACTAAGACACTGAGTTTTGGTCCCAGCTCAGCCACAAACCAGCTGCATTATTTTAGGCAAATCACTTTCCTGCTTTGTTTCCCACTCTTTTTTTTTTTTTTTCAGATGAGAAAAAATGCAGCCACTGCCCCATGTTACACCCGTGTAAAGTGCTTGGCAATACACAGGCTTTACCACTTTTACTCCAACCCAAATTAACAGCTTCAAGGCAACAGATTATGTTGGCTGTGAATAAAGTCAGCTCCCCCCACCAAAATGAAAGCCACCTGAATCTCTACAGAATTAAACTATCTTCTTCTGAAAGAGAGTATCATTGATGCTATGTTGCTCTGCACAACCCTGCAATACTTGACTAGCATCAGAGGTCATTCCTCTGTATCTGCTGCCTGTCAGTACCACCTTGTAGAGGTGCCCAGCATTTCCACCTCATGTACTGCTGCAAATCTTCCTGCTTTTCAAGGAAATAGGTTTGGTTTTCCAGTGTTAGGTCTGTGAAGATCTGATCCTTTGCTCTGCTTTCTTCCCTCTTTCAAGAGCTGCATTTCATCCAGCCTTTCACTGCCATCATACTATAAAGTCAATATGCTAATACTTTTGTCTGTTATTACCATCTCATAACAGAAAAAGAATAAACTTAACAAAAGAGAGCTTTGATGTGGAAAACACACCAGTTAATTGCCACCTATCAGAAGAACCAGGACTAAGGCTAAGCAAAGCAAAGGCAGCAGCAATTCTTAAGTCCTTGCAGACAAAGCAGGCTGGACCAAATAAACACAAAAAATGGAAGGTCATTTTATATAACAGCTTTGAAAATATATGAGACCCCAAAGAGATATTGCAGGCAGAAGGAATACAGTAACTCTACATTCCCACTAGTTTAACCCCGATGCTTTCTGCAAAAGTTTGCTTATTCACAGGGATGTATATGGGAGCCAGACTCCAGACTGCCAAGATGAACTCCTCAATGTGCTGCCTGAGCTTCTTGGGGTTGGCTGAGAATGACCAGCTCCTGGCAGGCACCAGGCAGAGTGGCCAACCTGCTCTCTCCATCCAAACACACCACACACAGTACAGCTCTGGACAGACAGTCTTGAATAACCTAACCCCCAATGTGAAGAAGGGCTTCCACATCCCCAGCAACCACAGAATGAGGAGAAAAGGCTCTGGAGGGGCTATACTGGAGAACATCACTTCTAAGGAAAGGAGGCAAAAAAAAACAGAAGAAGAAACAGCAATAATGACACATTATTTTTAAATTTTAAATGTTAAAACCAGACATAGAAATGAATTCTACTATTTTCCATACTAAGACCAAGTGCATGCAATTATTATTTTCAGGGTCCTGCAACACCAGAATCTCCATAAGCCCCATATACCAGTTTGTTTCAACCACTTTAAGTACTCTTGCAGTAGCTGTCAGTAACCAACACTATTTTTTCAGACAGTCTTTATTATGCTTTTCCTCATAACAGCTGTAGGCTATAGCTGAAGTACTGAAAAAGTACACAAAACACACTCTGGGAACGCAGGCAGATGTGGTCAAGGAGACCAAGATTTGAAAAAGCAACAAGAACGAGGGAAGAGGAAAACCTCTATTAAGGAAAGGAAAAAAAGCATAGGGGCAGGGGGATTCACTTTCCAGTAAAACATGACACTTCTGTTTGACCAGAAAAAAAACAGATAAAAGCAATCACTGGCTTACAGTTAAGAAAAATTTGTCAAAAAATTTGAACGGTCTTGAGAAAAAAATGGATTAAACCCATTTAAAAATCTCCTCATGTTTCTAGGGTCTCAATTAATTCAGTCTCTGCAACAGGTGGGAAGAAAAGACCCCTAACTAAGCAGGAAAATAAAAGGAAAAGAAAATTACATGGGAAAACTACATAAATGGAAGAATTATGAGATTTTTACATTTTTTTAAATCAATATTGTTTGTTTCAGTAATGAATTTTACTTCCTAAATCTTGCAGAGTCTCGCTGGCAGACATGCCATAATAATATAAATCAGCAGCCATGATGACCTGAGAGGTGACAGCTGAAATATCATATTGATACACTTGGACATTAAATAATTCAGTTTTGACAAATGGGACTTTATAATTTGCTCATTTGTACTTTATCTGCAACTTTCTATGGATTAATCTAAACTGCTGCTCTTCATAATCTCTCAGTTCCTGGCCAGCATTGAGCAGGTGAAGCACTTCCCCCCAAAGGAGATTAATGTCTGTGCAATAAACCAAGGGTATCACTGCACAAAGTGTGTGCACGAGGAGGGAATTTCCTTCTCCACCATCCAATCCAAACATGTTTGAGACCAACTTGGTCTGAAAAGGTCAACAAAGATAATGAACTTAACATACAGAGAATTACCATCAACAGGTGCTTGCCAAAAATCAATTATTTGAATCATACAAAGGCTAAGGTTTGAAGGGACCTTAAAGATCATTAGGATCCAACCTCACGCTAGACCAGGCTGCACAAAGCCTCATCCAATCTGGCCTTAAACATCTTTAAATTCATAGCCTCCTGCCTAATCAGAAATGGACTGCATTCTTATAAAAAGTTAAGACAGTTGCTAACCTTTGATGCACAGCCTAGTGAAAACGGGCTCCTCCTAGTAACAAATTCCTTCTATCTACAAATAAAAAATAAATCTGTGGAGAAGGACCTTGGAGTCCTGGTAGACAACAAGTGCAGCAATGAGCCTTTGTGGCCAAGAAGGCCAATAGTATCCTGAGGTGCATTAAGAAGAGTGTGTCCAGCAGGTTGAGGGAGGTTCTCCTCCCCCTCTACTCTGCCCTGGTGAGACCCCACCTGGAGTATTGTGTCCAGTTCTGGGCTTCCCAGTTCAAGAGGGTCACAGATTTACTTGAGAGAGTCCAACAGAGGCTATGAGGACAATTAAGGGACTGGAACACCTGTCTAATGAGGAAAGGCTGAGAGACCTGGGGCTGTTTAGTCTAGAGAACCGAAGATTGAGAAGGGATCTTATTAATATATATAAATACCTGAAGGGTGGATGTCAGGAAGGAAGGGCCAACCTCTTTTCAGTTGTGCCCTGTGATAGGACAAGGGGCAACGGATGCAAGCTAGAGCATAGGATGTTCCTGCTCAACATGAGGAAGACCTTCCATACTGTAAAGGGTTACAGAGCACTGGACCATCAAAAAAAACAACCCACAAACACACGCAAACAAACCCCGCCCCCCCCCCCAACCAAACCAAACCAAACCAAAACCATCAAACAAACAAAAAAAAACACCAGGAAGTAATGGGCAGTATTACAAGAACAAGCTTCTGAAAGACTTTTTCAATGTCAGGAAGAACACACAGGTGTAGAATTGCTAAGGTACAGAGATATTAAATTATTAACATAAATTATTAAGTTACTGTACCAACCTTATTTATATATTTCTCCCCTCCTTTTCAGTTTGGTGAAATATAACACATACCGATTTCCTTTGTCAGTTTTGTGACACTCCTTTATAAACATGTTATTAGAAGTTCACAGTGCTTGCCTCTAACAAATACTTAAGACTGTTCTACTGCCAGTGTGAATTACTTCACCTGGTAACTGAAACACATCTCCACTGAGTTCCATGGCAGCCACAGAACCTTGCTCTTGCTCAAAGTACACTTGAGCACTTCAACAGAACAGCACAAATACGTACACACAAGCACAAAAATTAGTCACTTTCAATTCATTAAAAAACACAGGCAGAAGGGCATAATTCGTTTCATAGACTTGCAGTTCAGTAATTTGATGTTTTCTATGAAGAATATGAAATGTCTTTCAAAATGTGCAAGCATTGAGATGTTTCGAGTATTTTAAATGGAAAAACACACATAAATCAATTTAACCAATTTACCTTATATTATTACTTCATAGGTTAAAAGGTATCACTTTTTTCCCCTGAGACAGGAGAATAGCATATGCACAGGAAAGCATGTCTGGTTTTACTAACAAAATAACTGTACACTTATCAATGAGGGTGACTGAGAAACAGAGCGAAGAGCTGGCATTTTTATGACTCCCACCAAAGAGGAAGAAAGAACTCATGAACTTAAGAGGACAGTAACTGGAAATAAAAGGACAAGCAAGAAGAGAAGCTTCAATAAAAACTTGCCTGTCAGAGAAACAAAGTTAAAACTTGATCATTGCCCCTCTGAAGGATGTTGCTCTATCATTGCACACTGAGGACTCTTAATCTGAAAAGCACCAGCAAGCTTGAAACACCTGGGTTGCTATGTCAGGCAGCTAACTCAGAGTCAAGAACACCAGAGTTCTGGCCTTGTTAAACTAAACAAAGTGTCAGGCCCAGGATCTGCTGTTAAAAAAACAGTTGTAAAACACCCACAATTCATTATTAATTGAATAGTTTTAATAAAATACTGACTAGAATACTTATGCAGAATCTATTCCCTGTGCTTCTCATCCTTCCTGAAGACAGCAGCAACATTTGCTTTCCTTCAGCCTTCTCCCAATCACCATGATCAAAGATTATTGAAAGTGGCCGTAAATTACATGACCCAGCTCTCTCAGCACTCATGGATACAGTCCATCATGGCCCATGTAATTTGCTTAAGATTCCCTGACCTCTTGATTAATCCTCTTCTACCAAAGGTACACCTTCCTTTCCCTCTGGTATCTAGGACTCCTGA